ATGTGTATTTATAGACATGTTCCGATATAAACGGTGAAAATAAAGTTGTAGACCCTATAACACTATATTACAATTATTTATACTCTTTAATTGGTGAGTTTTCAGGTCAAATACAGAGATTTTAAGCCGCAAAATTCAAATCAAGAATTGAAATACTCGTGACGCACAGGGAAAAACGGTAAGATAGCTCGCTTATGAGCGAGCCGAAGATTAGCTAAGGCAAAAAGTAAAGGAAAACAAGTAAAGCATAGTGATTCAGAGTGTATGCAGTGGAGCGGTGAGAGAGTGATGGATGCAACGAGAGAGATTGTGAGTGGAGGTAAGCGGGGGCGAGGATTATAATTATAATGTATGATAATAGGCAAAGCAGTAAATGAATCTAAAAATCAGTAAAGTGCGCGGCCAGAGGAGGATAAAGTCTCACCTCCTCTGGCCCTTCCTAACTATAGAACTCCCTTACAGGGTTGGAACTCTAAAAACCTATGCAAAAATCAATACTCTCCAGTATGAATACGTGTGTATGTATATATTTACAAAAAGATTTTGACCCTATTTATAGATCTACGGAGATGGTGGTTGCAGAGCAGTTGAGCGGCAGTTGAAACTGTTTGAGCAGTGGGGGCGTTCAGATGTTGTGTCTGATCTGTATGTTAAAATATGGCTAGATTCCCATGGATGAAGTGAGCGAATGAGGAATGTGAATTAGAGAAACATATACTTATAAGACGTAACGGTAGAAGAAGTAAATGTAATTGCAAAAAAACTGTTAAAACAGAAAACGACTTCGCTGGTACTTGACCTTAAGGGATTTACAACAAAACTTCAATGACGCCCAAAATTAGAACATTATACGTAAGAAAATCTATTGTCACTACAAGTTTTGTGGCCTAATAGATCCACACATATGCCTAGTAAATTATTTCAATCTCTGTCCCATTAGTGGCTTTACCCTTGTGTTACCTATTTTAATCAGAATCGAATTCAGAATAGCAACTAAACACGTCGACAAGGCTCCCACGTACTTAGCTATATTGAACTACCTAGAATCTATTAATGAATACGACGCGAAACTAGTGTAAAATAGTCGATTCTTCTATGTTCTTCCACAGGGAAATAGGATTCTAATCCTAATGTCTAAATGCAAATATGACTCTTAGATAGAAGCGATAGCGGACAAATCGTGATATTTCATTACTTAGTACATAAAACATTAAAATTCTACATAAGAAAGGCAGTAAATCAAAGCAGGAGCAAAGCAGTAAATGAATCTAAAAATCAGTAAAGTGCGCGGCCAGAGGAGGATAAAGTCTCACCTCCTCTGGCCCTTCCTAACTATAGAACTCCCTTACATGGTTGGAACTCTAAAAACCTATGCAAAAATCAATACTCTCCAGTATGAATACGTGTGTATGTATATATTTACAAAAAGATTTTGACCCTATTTATAGATCTACGGAGATGGTGGTTGCAGAGCAGTTGAGCGGCAGTTGAAACTGTTTGAGCAGTTAGGCGGTTGGTGGCGGTTAATCTGTTAAAGCAGTTGCACCGGTCATAACTCCCTAACTGCCACTTCGCTCGTTTTAGAATGTAAGAGTGCAAACCTTTCTCGTTTGCCTAGATGGCTGGAGGGCATTAGCGCAGCTCAAGCGATGTTGTCGTTGCTGGATGGTATTGGAATGCTAGACTGCTGAGAGATAAACACTTAGTGGATTTATGGAGGGGTTCACTCTCGCTTCGCTGCGGTGCATGTCTGATTGTTGACGCTGGCTCAAGCGGAAAGAACATCGTTTGCCGAGCGAAAACGCCATCGCTTGAATTTCGACAATTAGCTTTTTTGGGCCAGAAACATCTCTTAAATAGGTCAAAAACCTTAATAATCTCAAAAAACGCGCTCTGGATCACACCAAGTGAAATAATTCAATAAAGTATGCCATAACTCAGATATTGTGATGATTTTTACATAAAAATTCAAGTAATACGCAGTTTTGTCAAACAAAAAATATGTTATTATTTGGAATTATCACCCCTTGTCATTATTATTTATTCATTTGACTTCAAGGAATCTTCATTATAGAGTCTTCTTATTATTTCATCAATTTTAATCATAAAACAACTTTCATTAAAGCCAACTAAGGCTTCATTTATTTATGGTCCTTCGTACATACCCTCATATTTTCACCAATCTGAATATATTTTTGTCATCTTTCATATTAGGGAAAATCGATGTTTAGTTTCGTAGCTAACACCTTTTATCATTTTAGTCATACAATTGATGTTATATAATAATAATTTTGTAAATTATTTTTTTATTTTGCACAATTAATTATCTGACGCTAAAATTATGCATGTGACACGTGCATAACATGCTGAAGATACGTGTCAGCAGGGCCGTCCTTGGGGCTGGTCATGAGGACGACCGCCCAGGCTCAACCCAAGAGGCAGGGCCAAACTCTAGAGTGTTTGCCAAAAATATATATATATATATATTATACTATATTAAAAGTAATGTATATATCTAAATAAAAAAGAATCGTGGGTGGTACATATGAAAATAAAAATGCAAGTGGAATACAATGTGATGGATAATATTTTAAAATTAATTATCTTTGAATTATTGTATGGATATTACTAAATGAGATATTCGAACAATTATATAAATAGTATTTTTTTTTATTTAATTCTAACAAAATTAAACCTTTAAATGATTATGAGGTTAGAAAATATTGTATTATTTTTTAAGTACTTTATTTCATAATAATTTATGTGATATTATTTTAAAAGATTTTATTACTGAATTAAAACTTTTATCAGGTAATTTAAATTCATCCATTGAAATTCGTAAATATGATAGTCACTTATTATTATTTAAATGTTTTATTCCCTCCGTCCCACATAATTTGTCTCTATTTCCTATTTTCGTCCGTCCCACATAATTTGTCCTTTATTTTTTTGGAAAATTAATTATATACTTTAATCATATTTTAAAATTTAAAATTTAAAAATTTTTTAATTTTAATTGAACTATTTAGTTATCTTAATCTTAATCTATAATTATTTTTACTAAATAATTATTATTTTTACTAATACATTTCTTAATTACTTACTAATTATACTTTACCTAAATTCCCCTCTCTACAGTAATACACCCATATTAAATGGGACGGAGGGAATAATTACCTATCGAATTTTATGAACATTTCCTATGACGATAACATCTGTTGAAGAAGTTTCTCTAAATTTAATATTATTAAAATTTATTTGAGGTCAATTGTTTCAAGAAAGAATAATTTAGCTCCGCATATCTATTAGGAAAAAAATAAATCTATAATTATAATATTGATAATATTATTAATAATTTTACATTTGAAAAATACTATAAGGAGTAGATTTATATAAGGCTTTATGTTTTTTATTTATATTTTGTAGACTAATATAGTGAAAGTAGCTCTTGTAATGAAGTTCAATAACAAAAATGATGATCAAACTAAATATGAAATTATGGTGGTAGAGTGTATAAGATTAATGAATTTGGTGGGATGATACCAATGGTTGAGTTGATGTAAATCTTGTTAAGTTGTATTGTTTATTGTTTAATTAGTTTTTTTTTTAATTAAATTTGTTTCAAAACTAATACATAATTATATTTACTTTTAATAAAATTACATGTATTTTTAAAATAATAAATATTTGTTAAGGCTCTTTTTTAGGTTTCGCCCTGGCTCCCAACATGTAAGAACGGTACAGTGTCCGTTCGGAAAACGCTACCTGACAGACACGTAAAAATTTAATCAAACAAAATTTATAAAAAATTAATTTTAAAAAATTTAAAAATAAAAACAATAACATTTTTTGGGTTGGAGAAACTATTGTCCCAAAAATATTTATTTACCGCACTTATATACGTACTTCAGTTACACTACTAAAATAATAAGAGACAAGCTAAAAATATAATTTTTCTTTTGGACTATTGTCTTCCTTTAAAGCTTTGAGTTTTACATTTTCTTGCGTTTTTTTAATTTTTTTTTTTAGTATTTCCTCCAAAACTTTGAATCTACCCTCTAAATTCTTTCAAGATCTTGAGCTTCAGATTGCTTCTTCGGACCTAGCTATCTATCAACTCAGTTTTCTGTCCATCCCATCCTGGTTCCTTGGCAATTTTTCCGACATCAATTTGATTCCTCCGAAATCAGACCGGTGATAACAATTTTATATTTTACAATAAAAATTCTAATTATATTTGTATATATCTTTTTTTTATTATTAAAAATAAAAAAACTATATATTTCATTTGTCACATGAAAATATACTTAATTTAGTTTTGTTTGTTATTTAAGAGTATTCTTATTCTTATTTATCACTTTTTTACTTTTCTTAAAATAAAAAAAGTCATTCATATTTAAAATTCATTTCTAAAAATTTTAAGTATATTTTTTTAAGTGAAATATTATTTATTATAAATGGTAATATATAAAAACGAAACGACAACTAAACACGACCACTTAATCTTTGCATATTACGATTTATTTTTATTTTTTTTTAACTAATTTTGAGATAGAGGTTTTTACGCTAGTTACCTTTTACAACAGTGGCACTTGAGAGCACGCAAATCGATCCAAGGAGGATATTTGCCGGACGCGTGTTCGTCCACTAAATCCATGGGCGTCGGTGCCAGAAAGCACGGTTATTGCTGTCATCAATGCCCGCTAATTTCTGCAGTTAATTTATTCGTACATGTGTCTGTGAGTGTTGGATCTCCCTAACGCGTTTAATGATTCTCCACCTAAAAACAATACGAACATGTGGTTCGTGTCGATGCCAGTTGCATTCTACATTAAGCCCAAGATTAATTAATTATGAATTAATGCAGGCAAGATGCCATGTCAGGATCAGATATTAATTAATTGATGGTTACAAATGGAAATGTTATTAGATTATCATTAGTATTATTGATTGTTTGGTCTTGTTCTTTTTTTTTTTTTTTTTTTATCTTGTTCCGGATTTAGTTTGCTCATACAAAACTTCTCTCATCACAACCGAACAGAGAGTCAAAGAAATAGAATCCATCCATCCTTTTGAGGCCTGTAAAGAAAACAACACTGCCTTAAACCCACACTCCCACTGACAAAACAAAAACATCTTTACCCCGTCTCTCGCTCGTTCCAAATCTCGCCCTTTTTGCTTTGCATACATACTGATCTCAAAAAATGGAGGATAAACTGCAGACGACAGACCGCACACCATTGAAGGCGTAAAAGCTAAGGATCTTCTTTAATTTGTTTTGGTGGGATTTCAGAAATAATTACTGCTGCGAAAATGGTGAGCCTTATGGACTTGAGAAAGCTTTCCTTCTCAGATCAGGTATCGTCTTCGAGAAAACGGGTGCTGTCGAGTTTTGGATTCGGAATTTTGATGTCTTTTATCGTCTTGAGTGTGGTTTTGTATAATGCCTCGTTTAAGGCCCCTCTTTTGAATCCTATTTTTTGGAATACTGGAATGGGTTCGAACAGTAGTACTAGTTCATTTCTGTCGTGGCCCTTTTCTAGGGGGGCTGAAATTTCCAATTCTGTTAATTGTGCTTCCAACGGTTCTAGTCTTGTTCAGAAATCGATGCACTCTGTTGCCCTAAACGGCACCGTGGAATCAAATGTGTTTGCTAGTAATAAGAGTTTAGATTCGTCGAGTTTTGATGGGAAAGATGCTGTTTTTAAGGATGCCCGTGTGAGAAATGTATCTGGAGATTTGAAAAACGCTACCCTTTTTGTTGGAAACGGAAACGGAAATGGAAATGTTGAAGAAGTGAAAACAGATGCAAAAAGTGGTTCCCCGATTGACAATAGTACAATGTCGGAGGAGGCCCAAGTCGGAAATTTCAAGAATAATTCGAGGGCTGGTTGGGTAAAGGATTCGGAAGGGAGCACAGTTAGGGAGAATTCTATTGCTAAGGTTGAGGGGGAGGGGGCCTCTCCCATTGGCACTCGCAGTTATAAAGAAATTGGCAATGATTTGGGGAAGAAATCTGCATATACTTTGGATGGTACTAAAAGTTCTTACAAGGATTGCGATATATTTAATGGTAGATGGGTTAGGGATGAATCGAAACCGTATTATCCTCCTGGATCTTGCCCTTATATCGATAGAGATTTTGATTGTCACCTTAATGGAAGACCGGACAATGAGTACGAGAAATGGAGATGGCAGCCGTACGGGTGCGATATCCCCCGGTGAGGCTTTTCTTTGCTGAATTGTATAGTTAGATATGTAGAATGGATGTCGGCCATCGTGTAGAATAATAATGCATGTTGATATTGGTTGTGGTATAGTTAGTTTTTGCATACTTGTTCAAATTGTTTGCCGGAAAATTCCCTTTTTCTATGGCTGAATGTAAGTTATTAATGTGTATCCGATGGCGAAAATGCTTTGGCAGCTTTAACTCGACAGATTTTCTTGAGAGGCTTAGAGGGCAAACTCTGGTGTTTGTTGGGGATTCTCTTAATAGGAACATGTGGGAGTCTCTTGTTTGCATGCTTCGCCATGGTGTCCGGAACAAGAAACGAGTTTATGAGATTTCCGGGAGGCATGAATTCAAAAAGAAGGGTTTCTATGCATTCCGATTCGAGGCATGATTATTCGTAACATCATCTCAAAATCAATTAAAAGAGTTCATATACTCCAATCCAGCTGGCTTGATCTTCGTGCATGCTTTGTCTGTACCTGCAGGATTACAACTGTTCAATCGATTTTGTTAGCTCTCCTTTCCTCGTCAAGGAGTCGTCTTTTAAAGGCAAAAACGGTTCTTTTGAGACGCTACGACTAGATCTAATGGACGCCACTACTTCCATGTATCGCGAAGCGGATATACTAATATTTAACACAGGTCACTGGTGGACTCACGAAAAAACTTCCAAAGGGTGAGTTAAATCTGTTATTTTATCGAACTTCATTAATCATCTTGTTTATAACTTATTGAAACATTTGGGATTTTTGCAATTTTCAGAGAAGGCTATTACCAGGAAGGCAATCACGTGCATGCGAGGCTGAAAGTTTTGGAAGCATTCAAGAGGGCATTAGAGACGTGGGGTAAATGGGTCGATAAGAACATCGATAGAACCAAAACGCTAGTAATTTTCAGAGGATACTCGGTCACACATTTTAGGCATGTTCGAATTTTATTTCTTTCATAAATGCCGGATGAGTGATGAGGCTGAGAATGTTTTTTTGGTGTGTTTTCTTAATTTGCAGGGGCGGGCCATGGAACTCAGGGGGGCAGTGCAACAAAGAAACGGAGCCGATATTCAATGACGAATACTTGGCCAAGTATCCTTCGAAGATGAAGCTTCTAGAATATGTGATCAAAGATATGAAGACACCGGTTAGTTATCTCAACATAAGCCGGCTGACAGACTATAGAAAGGATGGGCACCCGTCGGTTTACAGACCGGACTATCAGGCGCAACGGGAAGTGCACGCTCAAGACTGCAGCCACTGGTGCTTGCCGGGGGTTCCCGACACTTGGAACCAGCTGCTCTATGTGTCGCTCTTACAGAGTGGACGAGGATCTTGGAGAGGAAACTGAACTGATGATATCTATGTTCATCCCACGTTGTATGAAGTGAGAAAAATTGTGATTGCATACGAGTTTTGGTTGGATGTAATGTAACATGTACATTAGTGAGTAGTTTGTGTATTTGTCGAAGTTTGAGATTCATTTATTGATTGTGTAATTTACACTCGCTCTTCTTTTCTCTCTGCGTCCTGTATTTATGTAAACTCGGAATCCTTGTTTATTCCCTTTCGTTTGTAAATCGCGTTTGCCAAACTTGCGATTTCCTCCCAAAAAATAAATAAAAAAAAAAAAAAAAAACTCAAATTACTTGACTACAAATTAATATTTGACTATGAAGGAATTTGATGCCGTTTGAAAAAAAGGGAAAAAAAAATTAAAATATGCCACGTGGCGGGTCACCCAGGAACTTCTAGGGTCAAACGGTAAACGTGTTTGTTGCGTCTTTGACCAAATAGAGATTTGGTGCTCTCTCTCTTATTTATTTGTCATGATAAAAAGTTAAAGAAATACTATTTTATTAATGGCGTTGATTAACTTGGGAGGACGTGGGTTAAAGGTGGTCGTGCATGGTGCATGAGTAGAAAGTCAATTAGTAAAATAAAGATGTTGAAAAAAGCATTACTGATAATTAAAATTAAATTACAAGTGATGTCGATCATCACTTAGCATCTGGTGATAATGATTGATTAATAAATAATGAATCCAGATTTCGAAATGTGCGTGTGTACATATGCATGCAGGCAGGCAGGACGACACGTTGAGCATTGACGGTGCTTCTCACTTCACTTGCCATGATTATTATAATTATAAATTTGGGGGAGGAGGTTAGTGTGTCTTTTCATTTAAGACTGCACTGTCTGTCTCTGTCTGTCTGTCTGTCTGAAGGAACAATATGAGATGAGACGAAAGTGTCGATGTTGTGCCATCTCTATTGTGTATATAGACTAAGAGTTGTGGGAATGATTATTATGTGTATGTATTTGAGCGTAGAGTGTAGGGTGTAGGGTGTAGCTAGTGTGTGTTTGGTGCATGATGATCGAAGAGGAAGAGGAAGAGGAAGAGGAGGTAGGGTTGGGTGGGTGGGTGGTGATCAATCCCATCACAACACAACACAGGCAGGGACTGGACTGGACTGGACTGGACTGGACTACTTTTAATTTTCCAGGTACACAAATATATATCAGGATGGATCTTTTGTTTTGCTGCAAACGTTTTCTCATTTCTTGAAGCGATGGTGTTAATTTTCCATGCACGCCAACGCCAACGCCAAGCCAAAGCTCCCTTCTGCCTACTCTCTACTGTGCCTGCCTTCCACCCTCCCTACTCTCTTTTTAACTTCGTCCATGGTCTGTAAAAAACATAACATAAAAAAAAAAAATAATAATAATAATAATAATAAATAAATAAATAAATGGTGAGTAATAATAATTTTGATGGGTGATGGGGGAGGACAAACTTGTGTCAGCACATCAAATCAAATCAAATCAATCAAAGCTTTGCTCCCCCCAACTTGAATCGCTTTGCTTTTGCACTCCACCCAAACTTTTCAGACCAGCTAGCCTCGGTCCTAAAAACCCAAATCCAACCCTCCATTGCCCATATGCATCTGCAACACACGCACCACATCATCTCCATAACGGCTCTCTCTTTCTCTCTCTGGATTTATATATTAATGGCTAATTACTTCTGATCATCAACTTCCAGTCGTCACGTAATTACAATGGATACTTTCTATTGCGGTCAGGTCAGGTCAGGTCACAGGGTTTGACCCACGGTTGCCAAACGTAAGCATGATTCGGTCAACCTAATAATTACTATCTAATTGTGATTTAAGACGGCCGCGGATCAAATATCTATCTACCTAAAATCTATCGGTGATAAGTAGAGTGACTCACTCTTATATACTAAAGGAATTTTCACATATTAATCAATATTCAACACTTTTTTTTTTTTAAATAATAATCTCAAAAATTCATGCAGGATTCAAACCTAATACGAGTACCATGACTCTAATATCATATTAAGAAGAAATTCAGATATCTAACCCAAAATTAATTGGTGATAGGTGGAGTAATCCTTCACCATTTTATATAGATATATATATGTATGCTCCTTCCATTTCTTATCTATCTATCCATTTGTTTTTTTGAACGAAATTTTAAAAATATTATTATAACATTAGAGTGTATTGTGAATAAAATAGAAAAATACTAAAATAATCTTATTAATATTGTTTGATATATTGTAATCGTAAAATAATTTTAAATATTACTAGAAAATATAATTATTAAAAAAATAAATATTTTATTATAGAACCATCCAAAATAAAATTGATAGATTGATAAGTATGGAGAAAGAACATATAGTAAGGGAATTTTCACTTATTAATAATTGTGAAACAATATTACCACATACATATTACTCTATCTTTATGCGTAGAGCTGGCAAATGGATCAGGTCGGGTCGGGTTTAGGTTCGGGTTAGTTTAAACAGGTTACAAAATTTTTGACCTAAACCTAACTCATTTAATTAATTGGGTTAATATTTGTAACTTTAATCTGATCTTTTATTAATCGGGTCAACCTGAATCTGACTTATAATCTAAAATTTTTAAATTTTAATTTAAAATTACAATTTATACTAAAAAAATTTTTAAATGCATAATATATATATTAAAGTAAAAAATTATTTATTCATATAATGAAACCGATATCCAAGAATTGAATTAACAAACGCTATAGTACACAACACAATCATTTATTTTTTATTGTTTATTTTTATAAAATTGGTCATAACTATTGAATTGTATTGATAAAATTTAAAAAATATAATTATTTCCAAGTCGAAAATGTAGACCTTAACCTGACCCATTTAATTAAATGGGTTAAACGAGTTTGACCTAATTATTATTTGAGTCAAAAATCTCAACCTAAATTCAACTATTTCAAGTCAGATTCGGTCAGATTATCAGGTCGGATTAATTTTTGTCAGCCCAATTTATGCGTGATAAGTATGACTATGAACCGCTTGGGCTGACATGACACGTCAAACCTCATACATAAATGATGATGACGAACTCGTGATTATATAATAAGAAATGAATTTTAATTAATGTAATAATAGTAATCTGTTGAGCCAGCTTACTGCATCAATTTGGAAACATTTACAACGTTAATCTCTAATCTTTTGTAGATCCCTCTCCGTCCAATCACTTGACGATTAATTACTTAATTAATTACACTTGATTATGATGACCAAACCCCACAATTGCATCTTGTCGTCCAATAAACTCATCAACTTATTTTTTATTATCTTATATATATATATATATATTTATGTAACAATTTGAGAATATTAATTAATCAATTAGTTAATGAGAGAGAGAGAGAGAGAGAGAGAGAGAGAATAAGTGGGCCAAGCCAATCGCTCATTCGGGTAAAAAAAATAATGCGTTAAATATTCGGCAGCAGTGCAGTGCAGTGCAGTGCAGTGGGCTCATCCGCCTCCTTTCCTCAGCTTCAGCTTGTTCCTCTAAACCAGAATACATGGATCATGGAATGTATGAAATTCACGCATCGGATGATGATTATGGAGAAAGAGCTTTGATGTCTCCGGACAATATGATTATGGCTGCCGAATACGCCCAGTATCAGTACGATTCCATGATTCCCACCGCCGATCACCAACATCGGATTCCCGCGTTTGAATCCGGCGACGAATTCGGGTTCCACTGCTCCGAGTCAGCTTCGTTTAGTGTTCAGAATCAAGGAGGAAGAGATCAGGAGGATGGCGTGATCAAGGCTAAGATTGCTTCTCACCCTTCCTATCCCAAACTGCTCGATGCTTACATCGACTGCCAAAAGGTTTCTAATCGCCGCCAATGCTGCGGATGTGCGAGATTTCGATTCGATGTGATATGATATGATTTGACTTGATTTGTTGGTGATTCGTGGTGTTGATTTTCTGCTTTTGCCATAGAACTCGGAAAACCTAATTAATTTTTGGGGATAAGAGTCTATTCAATTAGATAGAGTCGCATAGCCGATTCTGGTTGCGTTGCGTGTAGTTTTATGGCTGCGAGACTTTTGTGCCAATCAAATAAAGTAGAGTAGTGATTAAAATGCTTATATAGTTTCTAGAGATCACTGTTTTCTGCTGCGAATTTTTATGAGCTGTAATTTTCATCTCGTTTTCTTCAGGTTGGGGCACCTCCCGAGATAGCCTGTTTACTGGACGAAATCAAGAGGGAAAAGGACTTGTGTCCACAACGATCAGTTTCTATGTGCTTAGGAGTGGATCCTGAGCTCGACGAGTTTATGGTCCCCCTCTCTCTCTCTCTCTCTATCTCTTTTTCTCTCTCTATCTCACACACGAGCACAGCTAAGTTGAGTTATTTTATGCTCGCATCCACAATCGCAATCTCTGATGATCACCTACTTTCACTCATTCATTACATCGTAAGAGCTCGAACGACTGTTCTATGTGTGTTTGACAGGAAACGTATTGCGACATACTGTTGAAGTACAAGACAGATTTGTCAAAGCCGTTTGACGAAGCAACCTCCTTCCTCAACCAGATCGAGAGCCAACTCGGCAATCTTTGTATGGGTAAGCAAATCCCATCACACGCATATTACATTACGTTACACTAAACTCACAGATCTATGTCTATGGCCTGTGTGTTTGAAATATCCATGGCTTTACTTGTTTGGTGGATCAGAGTGTACAACTTCTAACTTCATATTTTCACTTAAACTGACAAACCCTAAAATTGCAATGGAGCTGCTGCTAGCATAAGTCCTCTTTTCCTCAAAACCTTGAGCCTCTTTTTAATATATATATTATCATCTTCTTTTGTGCTGTATGGGAAAAGAGTAATCCTTAAACAAAAAAAGTTTCAAGTGGATTTCTGTAGTAAAGAATTCACAACAGTGTTGCATTATACATATATATATGTATAATAATTTTTATGCAGCTATCTCATGTGTAGGTGGCGTCTCTAAATCTACTGTAGTCTTGGGGTCGGTTGGCTATATACCATTTTCGTTTTCTAGTTTATCTTTGCTTCTTTGTCAGAGGGAATTAAAGATCGATAATACTCCATATATAATTCATTTATGACTGGAGATGTCTGATTTTGACGTATTCAAAAGTCCTGATGAAATGCCTGCACTGCTTTACGTTCTGTCAAACAGTACTATATTATTTTATTCTACTGAGATTTCATTTAGAAATACATCGTGGTCCTCGCAAAATCTGTCCGTGGAGTTCTTTCATATCCTTGAATTTGGAGGCTTGCTTTAATCAAAATAAACTGAATCTGAAACTACATTAGTTTCCTTGGTTTGTTGTTGGGCCATTATGGGTCTCTTTTCTTGCCATGAATATGCTGTCAGCTAAATAGAACCAAAATATGGTCAAACAATTGTGCGAAATGGTTTCTTATTCTTAGAGAAATAGTGAACATGGAAATATACCTCTCAAAAACTAGCTTGATGACATTGTCGTGCCTCAGATATATGACTCAGTGTGCATGGTGTGCCCTTGTCATGTGTTTTTGCCTCTTTTAGCATCTGTAAATTTTTTAGGTTTGTTTAATTATGTTTTCAAGATATATATATATATATATACATTCTTTTCTTTATGAAACTTTTAATTTCAAAATAAAATTTTTACTATTCACCAGGTATTGAAACTCTTCACATTATGAGGTACTAGCCTGTGTTTTTATAATTTGCTAGGCACTCTAAATTGAAACACATGCATATTTCATTCACCCTGTTAATCTCTCTCAATCAAAAAGAGTTGTGTTTCTGTGATAACTTCTAATATTTTTAACTCAGTGCTCCCTCCATTTCAATAAAAGTGTCTTCAAGATACAGGAAATTAGAAAAAAATATAATTTTTAAATAATTAAGAAGTATATTAGTAAATAGTTAATTAAGATTAAATAAAATTATAAATTATGAAATTTAAAATATTATTAAAATATAGGAGTATAATTAGTTACAAAAAAAGAAAAAAAAAAAAAGAAAAAAAGATGAACACTTAAAATTTTATCAGACTTGTAACAAAAACTTGAGGCTTGTCAGTTGTGCACTAAATTATTACTCTTTTATACGCATGTAGTATATAATTATGCCATATGGTTGCTTTGGGAGAGTTTCAAGTTCCAATGGATAATTGGGAGTTTGCATGAAGATGGAATATAACCATTGGAAAGCGTTGAGTTGCACCCTAATTGATTGGTTGTACGTTAAAGGTGCTGATAATATATATATATATATATGTATATATTTGTTAGGATATAGCTATGCTCATAAATTTGATTAGATTTGCTGCGTGCAGGAAAACTTCGCTTTAATTATTTGATATTTTTTAAACCTTACCTCATACATTAGTACATGACAGTTCTGCTTCTACATGATATCGTGGCTGAAAATAGATATGATGTTCTGTAAAGAAGTCCGTTTTTATGAGCTAGTTGGGCTGGCATTGTCTGCATCACTTTATGATTGTTTTGGTAAAATGGATTTCATAACATGAAACAATATTCACGTATTTTAATTTGAAATTTTTACAAGAGGTGACTTTGTTTCTGCTCCACAATTCAATCCTGGAGATCATCTCCTAACTGGTGGTTGTACACAACACTCAGTTGCACAAACTCTCCATACCTTTAATTTCAGAACGCATATGTTTATTTTGAATGAAAATCTTCTATTGGCTTTTCTTGTAGTTTAATTAGATTTCAATATATAAAGTTTGTTGACAACTAATGCTGATTTATATATATATATAAAAGGTAATCGACAACTATTGCTGATTTCAGATGGCAAGTACAATTTAGCCTTTTCAAATACGTTCCTTTTTTCTATTTTATGTGGCCTCACGTGATGCTTGTTTTCATTGATCAATCTTGATTAGTTCTTTGAAACTGTTTCTTTAATCATTTAATCTATTTCGATTTGAATAATTAGATGTAGACAGGCACGGACAGATGTAAGATACTAAGATGCTCTCTCCATTAGGCATTGGTATTTACTTTCCTAGCTACTGATAGCTTTTGTGTGTTAATTATCTGTTGATTTACTTTCTAGTATTTTTTTTAGATTGTTTTTTCATGTATGTTTGCTCTCTGGTGTGCATTTATTTATTGCATTAGAGGGTTTTCACTCGTTAAAGATGATTTAGTGGAATAGGGCATAACATCTTGAGTCCCCCTCCCCCGAGCTGCTGCTTCGATATTCGTTTAGATATAGATTTTTAGAGATTTTTGGAATTTTAGAAGTTTGAAAAAAAAGTAGAAAAAAAATAAAAGTAGATTTGATGTGATGTATTTGAAAAATAAACAGTGCCAAAAGAGTAAAGGGTGTGTTGTTTAAACAAGAGCCGTAAAAGTCAGAATACACTTGTTTACTGTCGATACGTTTGTATTTTCAAGTCATTGTCTCTAAAATGATACTCTCCGTTCACCAAAAGTTTTATATATATATATTAACATGCAAGCGTGTGATTGTATGTACCCTGCGGATACTGTTTTTTATGATCCATGTACTGTTTCTGGTATCCTAAAAATTTGGTTGTCTGAATATACGTGAAAGCATCCTCGTATATCTCTTCCATTAATTTTTTGTACATGCATATACCTAGTAGAAGCAGCAGATGCATTTTAGGTAAAATTATGGAGTTGGATTGAGCTGAGATGGGTGTGAATTTGGTGTCGGGTCGGGTCAGAAGGAAGGGATGAATAGTGTTGTTACAGGGAGTGGAGAGTTGCAGAGAAAGAAAGGGTGGGGACGGATTGGCGTAACTTTATTGGGAAAAGACCCGGATCCAACGGGTGATCGAATTTCTTTCTATCACATGTCAGTCCATGGACACGACAAGACACGACACGACGGCACGCCCGGGGTTTGCGCTGAAGCTCCGCCCCACCACTTGTTCCTTCTCTTCTGCATCTATCTGCATCTAATCTAATCTATCCATACCTATCTGCATTTTCATTTCCATTTCCATTTCCATTTCCCCACAATCACTCACTCACTCACTCACACAGTACTTACTGACTCACTCACTGCTCTCTTATTGCACTGCACTTCACTTCTCTTGGCTTTAATGCTTGTCTATATGAACTTGACTTTCTTTTCTGTGCTCTTTTGGACATACGTGCCATATTATTGTTGTTATTATTATTATTATTATTTCGAGTATTATTTGTATTTGTATTTGTATGGGCATGTCCTCTCTTGTTTCTCGTATACGTACTATATCTAACCTCATTAGACTAGATTATGATACGATAATGCAAATCGAGTATATATACTCTCTACTACCTATTTGATGGGCCTTTTCTTGAGGTGGAGGTGGAGTAGGTGAAATTAGGTTTTTTATTACAGCATGTGGTCTTCTCACTGTCCTGCCCGTATCACCCAGCCAACTGTGCATTGTGAGAGAGAGAGAGAGAGAGAGAGAGAGAACCCATTAATCTCTCTCCCATTAATCTCATCTCCTCTCTCAGAAGCTATAGAAATGTCTTACTGCTGACGTTGTTTTCTTCAATTGGATTTGGACCTATATTTTGTTTCGCTAGAAAAAGACAAGAATGATATGAATATAATGACTGTCTGTGTGTATCTCTCTTTTACATATAGCATATGTATGTATGTATAATCAAAAAAACGTGTAGATGACGGTGGTTTGTCGTCGGACGAGGAGGAGTTGCTGGAGTTGGGGGATGGAGATGGAGATAGAGACAGAGATGGAGATCATGGTGAAGCACAGACACAGACGAAAATGGAAGATAGGGAACTGAAAGACCGGCTGCTGAGGATGTATGGAAGCCATATCAATAGCCTGAAGCTTGAATTTTCCAAGAAGAAGAAGAAAGGGAAGCTGCCCAAGGAGGCCAGGCAAACTTTGCTTGAATGGTGGACTCTTCACTATAAGTGGCCATATCCAACGGTACTACCCATCCCTACCATTTCCATTCAACCCATTTTCTTTATTACTATTAATTATGCATTAATAATAATAATAATAATTAAATTTGCTTGTATGGGCACACTGCTGCAGGAAGCAGATAAAATATCGCTGGCAGAAACGACGGGGCTGGATCAGAAACAGATCAACAATTGGTTCATCAACCAAAGGAAGCGACACTGGAAGCCTTCAGAGGACATGCACTTGGCTATAATGGATAATCTCTCATTTATGGAAGATTAACCTCACATGACATCACCTGCATACAATACAAATTTGAACACATCCTTCCTCCTCCTTCCCTATCTTTGCCCTCCTTGTAGTAGCATGTATGTATGTATGTATCTATGTATGTAATTAATTAATTAATTAGTCACAACTGGTTAATGCAAGACATAACATATCCTTGCTTTCAATTCTCTATATTATACACACTCAAATCCTCCTCTCTGTATACTTAGAATTATTTAAGATAGAAGCTTGCCTATAGTGAATTTACATCCGGATGGATGGGTTTTTTTGGAACATACCTCTCGGAAAAATATTACCGACTTATAACTATGGCCAAACTAAAATTTGAGAATTGGGTAAACCAAAAAGCAAAACAAAGAGCCCTTATTCATTGAGATCAAAGCAAATCAGAGCTTTAAAATTAGAATGAAAGTCACTTCTTGTTCGTGTTCGTGTTTACCTTTGTAAAACTGAAACAGAATCCTTCTTCTAACTTTCAGCCCCATCAATGACTTCGACTGTGACTGGATTCCACCGGACGAAGGTTATCGAACTCCGGTGGATGGCTTCTCCTCTGATTGAACCAACATCGCCTCCGATCTCCTTCTCCGGCAGTGCCTAGACGAGACAAGGACAGCCCCAAGCAGATTGATCTCCAACGAACTCAAACCCCAATGGGTGGCATTGATTTCTTTGGGACGATGTATTTTTACTCAGCCCGTAGTGAATAGCCTATGGTAACCAGAACTGCTCATCCGTCCGCTTCGTTCGTCATCACTGTCAAGGTCGGCTCTGATACCATTTGTAACGGATTGGATGATTCCTCCTCGAACACCTTCCCGTAGGCCTAGCGATTCTTCGAGTCCCTCGAGAACTCGCTAGTACAGCCTCGCACACAATCCTAACGCACGCTAAGTAAGAACACTATAAGATGTACCCGGCAAAGTAGATCTCGAGTTTGAGTCTCACTGTTTTCATTTGCGGCATATGTATGTGCAAGTTCCGCATATCTCACTTGCATCTGAGGAGGCGTGTTGGGGACTCATATTTGCGGATAAATAATTAATGGTTGTGTTTCCCTAACAGTTCGAACTTTTAAGTGAGATTGTCATTTTGCATCCGATATGATATCAAAGCCAATGTTAGGTCTCAAGTTCAAGTCCCACCGTCCCTATTTGCGTCATATGCATTTGCATGTTTCCGTGACAATTCAAGCTTTTAGATAACGCATACCCCCACTTGCATCTGAGGGGGCGTGTTGGTTACTCCCCTTTGTGGATAAATAATTAATGGTTGTATTTTCCTAACAGTTCAAGCTTTTATGTGAGACAGTCATTCTGCATACAACATGATATCAGAGCCAAGCTAGGTCTTGAGTTCGACAGTCTGAGCTTTAGACAGTCATTCTGCATCCGACATGATATCAGAGCCAAGGCTAGGTCTCGAGTCCGAGTCCCACCGTCATATACGGTATATGCATGTGCAAGTTTCGAATACCCCACTTGCACCCAAGGGGATCATAAGGGGCGTGTAGGGGACTCCCATTTGCAGATTAATAATTAATGACCACTTGCATCTAAGGGGGCGTGTCGAGGACTCTCGTTTACAGAGAAATAATTTATAACTGTGTTTCCCTAATCGTTCGAGCTTTTAGATGAGACGGTCATACGACATCTAACATTATCACTCTAAGCCTCGACATTCCTGAATCAGCTACAAGAAAATATTTATATTTCTTACTAAGAAACTTCTTAGATCCTCATCGAACACCCCCGGAAAATCTTATCAATTTCTCCCTCTCTTATCTCCCTCTAATTTTGGTTTCTACTATGGAATGGATGAGACTCACTCACACTCCCAAAACACCCCAAATCTCTAAACTCTCTTAGCGTAAAATTAACACATACAACGTCTACCTAATAAACCACCGCACAGAACATATTATCCGAAAAAAAAACTAACCAACTTGGGAGGAATACAAAACACTAAAAAAGATATCGGGTAGTATAATCACAAAGCATCCATGAAGGAATACCAAGAAACTTCAACATATTATGAGACATTTTCACCAAGAAAAATAATATACTAAAAAAATAAAGAGGAGAAAACTACCAAAGTCAGATCAAAATTCTTTCAATTTTGCAATTGGTTAATCACCTAAGGCTCTGGCACCACTGTTATGAATTTATACTTGGATCGATGGGTTGTTTTCGAATATAACTCGTAAAAATATTACAATTTAAATAACAAAAGCAAGTAAAAATATTACAACTTAATTAACAAAAGCAAATTCAATAATATCTTTCGATCCGGAATATAAATTCACAACACTCCGTCTAATGCTAGTTTTTTATATATTTGTATTTAGGAAAAACCAAAATAAGATTCACCCGTAGTTTTGAAAACTTGTTTTGATCTATTAGTAGCAATGCTGATTTTTGGTATAAAATGACGCTTAGGTCTTTGGTTATATATATAAGTTAAATTCAAGTTTCAATGGGAGTCTTAAAATTGTGTTTCAAATATGAGTGTTAAATTTGAACCTCAAATTTTCGTTACAATAAAACTAAAAAATTGAATGAGAAGAAGACGAAAGGTTCATGAAAAGGGAATATCGAAAAAAAAAAAAAGTAAAGAAGAAGAATAACAAAATGTGTTTATTTGTGAGATTTTAATTTTGAATAGTAAAATTTTTAATTGAAATAATTATTTGATGCGAACAGTTACTATTTTAGCGATAGGAGCAAATGATTCTTTATAATCATTGCCATAGATTTGAATATATCCTTTTGCTACAAGGCGAGCCTTGAATCGTTGAACACTGCCACTGCATGACGTTTGATTCGATATACTTATTTGCAAGAAATATGTTTCGCACCTTTAGGTAGTGTAGTGACCTCCCTTGTGTCATTATGTTGCAGAGTTCTATCTCTTCATCCATAACTAATTTCCATTTGGGATCCTTGTGTGTCTGAACATAAAAATGTGGTTCTTGCAAATCAACAGCAGATATAACATGCCATAACAGTGCTACTAAAGTACTGTTAGGTTCAAGAGAAGAAAAAACAGAGTTGATGTAATCTCGCATCCATGCAGGGGTTTGGTGGCTTTTTTGCGACAGCAAGACATTGAATTATATGGATTAATCATGGGAGAAGAGGTAGAGAAAGGTTGATAAGGAAGGATTGTTTGGGACAGATACTGGGGGACTAGATGGAGGCACAAGAGAAGGATTCGAAGTATGCCCGAGAGAGTGATTATTGGGATATGTGATAGAAAAAGTAGGTAGTGTATCAGAAAATGAAAGATGAGATTTTCTCGAGTAAAATGATCATCACGAGGGTTATTAAGGAACATGGTGCTTGGACAGTCTGATTGTCTGAAGAATGAACATAGTTAGAATTAAAAAACGAAAAAATGAGATTAATGAAATAGTACATCTCTAGCTATGAAAATTTTATTTGTGGCAGGACCAAGGAGTTTGTAGCCTTTTTGTCTCATTGAAAAACCAAGAAAGACACATTTAGGGCTCGGGGATCAAGTTTAGATTTATTAGGTTGAATATTAATAGCAAAGCAAAGACACCCAAAGGTTTTGATGAAGGAATAATAAGGAGGTTTAAGATAATTTTTTCGGTAAATAGTGGACCATGACAACACATGAGGAGGAATTCTATTGATCAAGTAAGTGGCATGGAGAATAGCATCACCCTAGAATTCGGAGGCAAGGATGCTTGAAAAAGTAAAGCTTGGGTGAGTTGAAGCAAGTATTTATGTTTTATTTCCGATCTACCATTTTGTTGAGGGATGTGAGGATATGAGTGGTGATGTTCAATGCCATTCTTTTGGTAGAGTAGTTTGCAGTGATTTTTTAAGAACTCCGTCCCATTGTCTATTCGAATACACTTCACAGCACAGCACAATTGAATTGAGTCGTAATATAGGTGAGGTAGTTTTCTATAAAGTGATGAAGATTTTGTTTGGTTGGTAAAAGATAGGCCCATGTGGCTCGGGAGTAATCATCTACAATGTGTAAGAAATAATGACATCCATTTAGTGTTGAAGTTTTATAAGGTCCCCATGTATCCATATGAACAAGATCAAACAAGTGAGATGAACAAGAAGAATTTTTATTGAATGGTAAACTTGTTTGTTTTTCTTTGTGATAAATTTCACAATAAGTACAATGACTTCTTGTAAGAAATGGTAAATGCTTCAAAGTTTCAAATAAAGTGTATCCAAGTCGTTGATACCACAGAAAAGGTTCGTGAGAGACAACCAAAGTTAGCTCGGTGGTAGAGACAGATGTGCTAGACAGGATATAGAGGTTCTGAATTTGTTTTTCAGTAGCCAAAATTGTCTCACATTTATGGTCTTGTATCACACAACCATTAGAAGTGAAGACAAGTTTTAGAGGGTAGTGTTTAAGAAATAAGCTAACAAGCGACAAATTATATTTAAATGTAAAATATAGTAGAAATATTGTAAAGTGATTTCTAGTGTAATAGTGACAGAATCGGCAAGGTTGGTTGTGCATAATACGAGGAATTGTTTTAAAATGAGATAGAGAAGTAAACAATATTTTGTCAACACAAATACGGCATGTTGCACTGCAATCAATTAACCAGGAATTATACAAATGAACAAAACCAGTAAGTAATAGGTTACATGAGAATCGCACAGTTGCATTTGTTGTTGTAGCATGTGAGTCAGAGGTGTGTTACAATAGAAGCTTTTGTACTTCAGCCTTTCAGCCTTTACGAGAGTACTCAGGTATAGATTTCTGAAGCTTTTGTTCTTCTCAAATTTACTGGTCACAGCAGCACATACGGAAGTATTTTTCTTATTCTGCAAGTCTTTATACCAATCAGGAATTCCATGTAGAGAAAAACATATGTCTTTAAAGTGAATTTTCTTCTTGCAATAATCACATATCATGTTTCTTTTGTCTGTAACTTGATGTTTCCTTCTATTTAATTCTTTTTTGCTCGATCAACTTTTGTTCCCAACTATTAATGCATTGTGTTTTACAAAAATATGTATTTCCTTATGTTTTTCAACTTGCAAGATAAGAGCATAGGCTTTGCTTATGGTAGACAATGGTTCCATCAACAAAATCTGCCATTTGAAATTTTCATATTGATTATTCAAACCAATCAAGAACTAAATTAAAAGATCTTGTTTCATCCTTTCTTGAAGTTTGTGATTTGTACCACAAGAATACTTAATTGGTGGCTCAATGATAAGAAGCTCTGCCCAGATTTCCTGAAGTTTTGCAGCATAAACAGTAATAGTGTCACTCATTTGCTTTAAGGAGATGATGGAACATTTGAGTTAGTAAATTAAAGATACGTTGGATTTGCCAAAATTTTCTTTTAGGCTATCCCATAGATCTTTGGTAATAGGAACAAATATAAATGCAATTTGTAGGTCGACAGGGATGGAGTTGATGACTCGATGTAAAGTAATTTGTACCACTGAGCGGTACTGGACATAGGGTGAGACGTGGTTTATCACCGCTACTCATTTGTAGTGCTTTTGTAAGGCAAGAGACTAAGAAATAATAGGATAAATAGCAAAGTAAGTGCAAGTTGAGAATTCATGGTAATTTCTCCAATCACAGGATCCAAATTTGTTATACTCTACATCATATAATAATAAAAAAAAAAAAGGAAGTATCAAAGAAAATAGCTGGGAGAATATATATCATCTTCAAAATACATATTTTATATACACTTGGCTTGACTAATTCCAAAAACTTTTATAACAACTAACTGTCAATTACTGTATTCCAAAAATTTCATCTCAAAATCAATTGAGTTTTGTTTAATTTACAAATCATAATGTCTCGTGCACACATCATTCAATTAATGTTTCCTTCTTCCTCTCTCTTTCCCTCTCTCATATATATAAATATATATATATACTACACATAATATTTACACTATTGTATGGGGTATATTTTATACACACGTATACATATATTTTTCATAGAAGTAAGTATATAAACTATATTACTTATATTATATTAAAATATAAAAACTAATCTTAAAAAATATATTATATTTTATTATATAATTATGCTTTAATTTTTTTAATATTTTTTAATGTTAACTATCACATCAATAAATATATTTTACTTTAACTAACTATCAATTAATATATTATTATTACAAAAATCAACTTACAAAGATCAATTCAAATATCTTAATTCAAAAGAAATTTAAATCCAACAAAAAAAACTCTAACTCAACTCAAATTTTAACTTTCAACCAAACATATCCTAAACTTACCACCACTGATATTAGATCCAATCTTGTATGGGTTTTATTGCATAATCTCTTTGGTCTGAGTTTCTTTTGTTTCTCTCGTCTTTCTTTTTTTTTTTTTGGTTTTTTTATGACGTGGAAACTCACAATCGCTACCTGAAAGTATTCACTGGATAAACTCCCGGTTGAACTTAATACTCTGCAAACTAAGTCCGATAAAACAAGTTACATTAGGTGAACCATGTGTGGCAGGTAGACCTATAGGCGTTGAATTTTGAACTCATGATATCACGATCACAAGTTCACTTCCCACATCACCGGACCATTTCTTACTTGATGTTAGAAATTATGGGGGGAAATAATAAAATTGTATTATTGATCATCAAAATAAGGAGTCTATATAATAGACAATACAAAACAGACTCGATAGACTCAAATCTAAGTAATCTAATCTATAAATAAACTATATATAAATCTACTAAATCTAAAACCGAATATCTAAAATATCTTAACATTCCCCTCAAACTCAAGTAGTATAACAGAAACCAACTTGAGTTTGATAAAAAAGTTGAATATAGACGAAAAAAAAAAACGCAAATAGAAATAAAAGTTGACTCTCCACCGCATAAAAAATTGACGTGACTCTCTATCGAAGCCGAAAACGACATGACTCTCCACCGTAGCCGAAAACGACATGACTCCACCGGAGACGAAAACGACATGACTTCACCGGAGCCGAAAATAGTTGACTCTCCACTGGAGCCAAAAACAACATGACTCCACCGGAGCCGAAAATGAGATAACTCTCCACCGGAGTCGAAAACGAGATGACTATTCACCGGAGCCGAAACTAACATGACTTCATTGGAGCAAAAAACGATATTACTCCACCGAAGCCGAAAAACGAGATGGCTATTCACCGGAGCCGAAAACGACATGATTCCACATTAGCAAAAAAACGATATGACTCCACCGGAGCCGAAAAACGTGATGACTTTCCACCGAAGTCAAAAACGAAATAAATCGCAAACACCAAACAGATCGCACGCAGGCAACGGACAAGCAACGGACATATGGCATATTGCAGACAAATTTCAGATCGCACGCAGGCAACGGACAAGCAACGGACATATGGCATATCGCAGACAAGTTTCAGATCGACGCAGGCAACGGACAAGCAACGGACATATGGCATATCGCAGACAAGTTTCAGATCGCACGCAGGCAACAGACAAGCAACAGACAGATGATAGATCGCAGACAGGTTTCAGATGACACGCAGACAACAGAAAAACAGCGGACAGATGCCAGATAGCAATAGATTTCAAAATCACAAGTCCTCTCAAAATCACAAAACCCCGGGTACAATCCAAGTTGAATGTACCCGGAGAAACACGGGTTGGTAAGCTATATTTACGGCATGAGAAAAATAAGCTCTGATACTATGTTAGAAATTATGGGGGAAAATAATGAAATTGTCTTATTGATCGTCAAAATAAGGAGTCTATATATAAGCAAAACAAAACAAGACTCGATGAATTCAAATCTAAGTAATATAATCTATGGATAAAATCAAATATAAATATAAATCTATTAAATCTAAAACCGAATATCTAATATATTTATTTTTCTTGTCTTTATTGTCACGATGGCGATGAGTAGTCTTGTTTACATTCATCAACACGACTCGCTGAAACTAATCAACGATGATTTAGTATGAAATTGGACTTATACAATAGATTTTTAAGTCGGCCACACCTTTCTAGCCCAGTTAATCTTAGTATATTATAATACTATTATATATGATTATTATATTTAATGATGATTTATGTGGAGTGGAGTCATGCAGTGAGTATCCTGCATTGATATGATTAATAATAATAATAATAATAATAATAATAATAATAATAATAATAATGGGCACACAATAAATTACTAAATAATTAGAAAGGACCAGAAAGCATCATAGAAATTGAAAATTGGGTTATAAAATTGGGAATCGGATACATGGAGGAGGTTGTTGACAGTTGAGTTGAGTGGCGGAATCATCCAGCTCTCATCCACCGCATTCCTCCCTTGCCTCACCTCACCTCAATTCCAAACGCCAATAAATAACAATAATAATAATTTTTTATTTTTTTTGTCTTACTTATATTCTGTCACAATTCCCAGCCCGGAAGAATAAATATTCTCTACGATGCATAATATATATATATATATATATACACACCATATTGTCGATGTTCTAAGAGCATATACAATAAACAAAATTTAAAGGTCTCGCTACAGCGTGCGAGGTCTTTAATTTCAAATTTTAACAAAAAAAGTCACACAATGAAATAAATTTGGAAAGTTCAAACTGTACGGCAGCAATTTGGTGACAAAGAAGCCAAGCCCAAGTTATTAAAATTCATCTAATACATTTAATGTCATTGTGTATTAATTTTTATTTTAATTTTTAAAGTGAAATGTGTCAAATAACACATACGAATTAGATGCAGTCTTTTCTAATGATTATTGCACCTGCTCTAAGTTTGTATAAGAGCATACCATATTGTCGATGTTCTAAGTTTGTATAAGAGCATCGGTTATAGTCGTTACCTCTGATCTATTATTTTATTTATCTCTCATCTACGTCATATTCATTTCAACATTCAAATTACTTTCTTCGTTACCCGTTGTAGTTAATTACCTTCAACTTATTACCTTTATTATTTTATAATATCTACAATAATTTATTTATTTCTATATATTTTTATTATGTAGTAATATAATACAAATAATTTATTTATTTATACATAGTTCTAGATATTTTTATTGTCTAATAATATTTTTATATAATATTATATTTAAATTTTTAAATATTAATCTAGATAAATTTAAATAATTTAAAGCATATAAGTTACTATTTTAAAATTTGAATAGAAAAAATTATAAATCGAAAAATATAATTTTAAAACATGATGGATGATGGATAAAATATTATAATTGGTTATTGAATTTAAAATTTAAACAAAATAGATAATACTTAATTAATTTTTATTATTTTTATTGAAGGTAATCGATTATTGAGAAAGATAATAAATTTAGAATAATTATATATCTTATTCAAGATAATGAATATTGTTATAATAAAAACGGAAAAGATAATTACATAGAGAATCAATGAGATGAGTGTAGCATATGCTCTGATAACCTACGATTTTAGCTAAACCAGTATCGGAACATCCATCCAGTCATTATTAGCCCATAGGAAATTCCTATTCTTAAGATTCTTCACCCTTACTAATCTTCTTTGATTATATCGAGTACGTAATGAATGACGACACTGGCTGAAGTCTATTTAATTAAGTTCTAGCCACTAATTGAATGCCACGTGTCTTGTTACCACCCTACTTTTATTAGGCATTGTGGGGAGAATTAATTTTCAGTATGGATAGAGGAAACGATGGGATTAATTCCTGTATGCCCATAATATTATAATTCATATATATATATAGATAGATATATTAGAATCCATCGAATTGGAAAATGAAAATGAAAATGATGATGAAGTGGTGGTGGTGGATATCCTCTCTTCAATTTGTGGAATTATTTGTTAGCATAGTGGTGCATTTGGCATATGGGTTTTATATATTTAGCTCTGCTGTAGCTGGCGATCTCACACTGGCCTTAACTGACTGCATTTTCAAGCCTAACTTGATTGCTGCTGATGATGGGATGATGACTACGACTACGACACAAGATGATAATTCGATCAAGTCCTCCACTTCCACTTTGCCTCCCATTGTGTTAGTCCATGGAATCTTTGGATTTGGGCAAGGAGTATGAAACAATCCCTGACCAAATTCATTTGGGCTTCTCTTTGCTTACACTTGTGTTCTTTAATTCCACAGAGACTGGGGAGTGTTTCTTACTTTGGTGGAGCAGAGAAGAAGGATGAGAGGGTTCTTGTACCTGATTTAGGGTCTCTGACAAGCATATTTGACAGGGCCAGGGAGTTGTTTTATTACCTGAAAGGAGGGCAGGTTGATTATGGAGAAGAGCATAGCAAGGCCTTTGGGCACCCACAGTTTGGCAGAGTTTATGAAAAGGGTGGGTGGGTGGGTGGGTGGGTTTCTCAACTACTTGACTTGTTTTTCTGTCTGATTGTTTGTTTGATTGATGATGGATATTGGTGTGTGTGTGTAATTTGAGCATTACAGGGCACTACCCTGAATGGGACGACAACCACCCGATTCACTTGGTGGGGCATTCTGCTGGAGCACAGGTTGTCCGACTCTTGCAACAAATGCTTGCTGATAAGGTATCTCCTCTACGTCCATTTTCATCAGGATCATTAGTTATGTGATCGATCATGATCAGTGAGTTGGTTGTAAGAATTCAGGCATTCAGAGGATATGAAAACACTTCATCAAACTGGGTGCTCAGCATTACCTCACTGTCGGGAGCATTCAATGGCACAACCAGAGCATACCTCGATGGAATTCAGTCAGTCCATCAATATCATACATACATATATATGTATATCTTCAATTCTTCATCTCGATCTCGATATCTTTGCTGTTGTCAGGCTTGAAGATGGCAAGTCATTGAAGCCCATATGCCTTCTCCAAGTGTGCCGAGTCGGAGTGATTCTGTATGACTGGTTCGATATCCAATGGCTGAAAAACTATTACAACTTCGGATTCGACCACTTCAATATCTCCAGGAAGAAAACTAACCTTTGGGGTCTTGTTGGTTGCCTAATGGGGAAGAGTGGTCCATTTGCATCTGGAGACTGGATTCTACCTGATCTTACATTCCAAGGATCCATCAAAATTAACTCATGTATACAGACATTTCCGACCACGTACTACTTCAGCTACGCCACCAAACGCACGAGGCAGCTAATGGGAATCACAGTTCCCTCGAGCATTGTCGGGATACATCCTTTGCTGTTCATCCGTGTCTTCCAGATGAGCCAGTGGCGATACCCTTCAGAATCAAATCATCCCTACAAAGGATACAGGTTATCAAATGAGCAAAACTAAACCTGAATTATGGAATTCAAACTAACCTGCAAATTCGATCCCTCTAATGGTGATTTGTAAATTACAGCGATGAAGATTGGCGGGACAACGATGGAGCACTCAACACAGTATCTATGACTCACCCTCGGCTGCCATTTGAGCATCCTAGTTGCTCCGTTGTAAATGATTCATATGCTCAACCTTCGCAACCTGGGATCTGGTCTGTGTGCCTTTTCTGTCATCATAAACTATATGTTAAGTGTACAGCTCTAACTTTTGTAGCCACTCCTTGTTTCTTGAAACCAATAGGTATTACAAGATTATAGAAGGCGATCACATTCTGTTCATAGTGAATCGGGAGAGAGCCGGTGCCCAATTCGATGTGATATACGACAGCATTTTCGAACGGTGCAGAAAGCATACCTTAGGAAAGAGACAACCTTTGCCAAACCAAGTACCTTTTTAAGATGGAAACTTAACCCTCTCACTTTCGCCCTATTCCTATTCTTTTCCTTAATTCTGTGGTTGAGGTCTCTGCACCTATTACTTAATACCGAACATATCATTCGGACAAGAAGATACCACTGATGTATTCTGGCTTTAATGGCAAGTCTGACATTCTGTGCTGATAAAAGTGAACTGGGAAGTGCCAAGTTTATTTTCAAAAACATATCCAGTAGTCCATCCAAACTCAAGGAGATCATTCAAAACGAATGCTCATAACTAGTCTATAGCATATGCTAACACTATATTATTCATATATCAACTAAGCATTTCCACGGCACCATATCTGTCAGATTCTCTATATTCCTTTTGATTCTTCAGGATAAGGATGAAAAAAGGCCTTGGCAAACAAAACTTGAGTTTTAGATCTGGAGTGCAGAAGCGATCGCGGCTGCAAGACTTAGAACTTCAAATGGTGGCTTGTGTTTTACTTGCTTCACAGTCTCTGGGCATGAATCTGTAATCCAGAAGTAACTCATCCCATTCTCAGGAGTCCCTATAGATTGTAGAAAAGGTGAGGAAAGACAAAAATTAGATGATATACAAAACAAATATGGAAAATTTTGGCATGTAGAAAATACCTCCTCCATCATGTTTAAAACGCTGCCATGAGTCGTTTGGGAAAATCCCGTGTGTCACATAGGCACTAATTTTTTTTGCTCCATGTTTGGCCAACACTTTCTGAAAAACATACGGTTTAAAACATTTTAGTTGAAGATTCAGCAGTGCTTGTCTACCACATTCCGTAAAGACAAACCACTAGTGTGCTCCGATCCAAAAAAAACAGAAGCCACCAGTGTTGACTAAATCTATGTTAGGATCATAGTAATTTGTAACCCTTCAATAATACACGAAGCAATTACTTCCACTGCTTGAAGCAGGTAATAGGATTTCATTGCAACAGCGAAAGAAACAACCAGAACTCTATTCATAGTGAATAGCAATCAACATAAGAAAACAAGCTGACTTGAAAACCATCTAAATGTGAAGGAGGTGTCCATGGAATGGCTGGCCTTATCAACATATTATAAAGATTATTGTCGGAAGTTTCGACTGTTCAAATCACCTATAGCATCCTTTCCAAGAAATAGAATCTAATTGTAGGATTTAGAGAAAATGTCATTTTTGTTGGAAGAAATGCCACTTAACTCTAACATCTTGGAGGACTGCATCTCACCATTCACAACACCCATAAGAGTTATGAACAAAACTTGTTTCTCCATATTTTTCAAAGAAAATCCTCCATTTGAATATTGAATTTTCAAAATCAACTAATTTCCAGGTAAGATAAAATAGGCAAATAGATGAAGCTGATATCCTGTGGGAGGTTAAACTTCAGCTTTCTCACCTGACACTCTAAAAGTGTGCCGCCTGATTGGACAAGGTCATCAACTATCACCACATGGCGTCCCTTGGGTTCGCCCTCCTTAATTCTTACAATTCGTTGATCACCTTCCCTAACTTTGGCACAGACAATCTGCCCATCAAATTAAGCAGGTTAGGCCAATATAGAGCTTACTATAGTGCAGTAAAATTTGCACAAGAACATTAGTGCAAACTAAGCATTTCATTCAGATAAGTTGATGGATATCAACAAATATAACATTATTAGTGATATAACTATGAAGAAACACTGCAATTGTCAAATCCTATGGATAAACAGAGTCGTTAAGTTAGTCAAGAATCCATGCCAAAGAAAGTAGTACCATAGGGAAGTGCTGCAACTGCTTGTGAAATCGTTTCCATGCTCCATCATCTGGAAATGCTACTGCTATCTGGACAGAGTAAAAATAAAGCAGAACTGAATCCATCTCTAATTTAGATAGCCACGACGAATACAACATAGGAAAGACATAGATGCAAAATGACAATTGAAATTGAAAGCATAACATACTAGAAATAGATGCATCAAAAAGGCATTATGCTGTAGCTATTCATTCATTTTTCTCACAGCAAAAATAGATAAGTCAACATTTTAAATTGCATATAATTCAATGGTAGTTAACAATAGTTTTGAAACCTTTAACAGACCACATGAGGAAGCATTACATTGTCAGAGTCAGGCAACTGTTGTAGCCTATTCAAGAGCAAAGGAATACCACTTTCAAAACATGGCAAAACACTATCACCAAAGTAAAACCTCTCCTGCAAGATGGAAAAAACACAGAATGAAGACAACAAATTGAATTTCCATAAGGGGAAATGTTGAAAAGAAGAAGCATTTCATAAACCTACCTGTAAGGCATGGATATCGAAAATTACTAAGCTAGTTGGTCCCCCTCTACATAATGGTATATTTGACAAGATCCTGGCAAGCGTGAATGCTGTAGCAACATCTCCTTCATCCTCCATACGTTCAGACGTGCCGGTGGGGAAAAATGGCAGAACAAGAGTAAAGGAAGCAACAAATAGTTTAGGTAGAGCATAGATGATGGACAATTGCTCAAAGATGGATCCAGGAGAGCTAAATGAAGCAAGGAAAGCTACATGTTGTCCACGAACTCCTTGGGCATTATTTATGAATAAGTTTGGAAATCCATCATCAAATTTCCTGTTTGATCAAAATCATCAACTAAACGAATCATTCATAGGGTTTAGCGTACGGTTGGCAAATTATATATGCGAATGATCTCTGAAAATTTTAAAGAAACGGGAAAGCTTGAAGAGCCCTAGCTTATAAAAGAATGTCGTTTTCTTTAATCAAGCCAACCATTATTACACTAAAACAAATCAAATTTGCGGCAATTGACCATAACAAAAGAGTAGGATTGATCACATCATATATGCTTGAACAAATCGCATCTGAAGAACAAGCAATTGAAGGAAATAAAATTAGACAGCTCCTTAAACTGACGAAAGTTAGCTCACCTCCAATTTATGTTTCGCAGCTCAATGGCATCAGACTCAGAAGCAATCCTCTCGGCTAGATCCTTCATCTCAGGGCAGTAAAATAGGCAAACCTTTTTGGCACTCTTGAGCGAGGAATCGAGAGTCGGAGCCATTGCGGTGGAAGTCGGGGGTTTGAGAATGATGTGAATTGGGTCGGTTGAGGACACGCAGTCAACTGTCCACTTCTGAGGGGAAGAACTCTTGAGGTCGCAGTGAATTTGGGTTCTCAAGTGCAGCGGCTTTCGGGTGGGTATGGTGGAGGAGGATGAAGGGATGGGCCGAGGGGCTGAAATGGCCGACATTTGGGCGGGGGAGGAGTTCCAATCCCAGTCCCACGGTGGCGTCCGCCGCGATATCAGGGGTGGCAGTTGGAGAACTAAAATTAATTATTAATTGGCGTCTTTCGTTTCCCAGCGCACTGCAGTCTGCAGGTAGGGTAATAATAATAATAATAATAATAAGGGGCATAAGTCAATTAACTGTAATAATAATAGTATTTTAATAATATTATTTTATTCCAAAATTGATTTTTTGTGTATATCAAAAAATACAAAATACAAAATACAAAATTTATTTAAGTAAAATTCATGTTAAATTAAAAAATACACAAAATATCTGATATTTAATTAAATTCGCACCTATAGATTTTATATTACATAAGAAAGAAATTTTATTCAAATAAAAGGTAAACTATCTTGGATAATATTATTTAAATAAAAAAAATAATTAATTAATTTTTATTTTATAATTATCTTTGTAAAAGTTAAATAATAATCACATAAATTATTATTATTATTATTTTATTTCGGTTCATTCACATAATATTTTTATAAATATAATTATACATTTTAATCATATTTTAAAATTTATTATTTATAATTCTTTTAATTTTAATTAAATTATTTAATTATATTAATTTTAATCTATAATTATTTTTATTATATAATAATTATTATTTTTTATTTTATTTTCATTTACATCGTTTACAATCTAATATCAATTTTAATTTAATATAAAAAATAAATTACACAATAAATAAAATAAAAATGATATAATTTTATTTATTTATTTTAAAAAAAGCCTTATTTTAATACACTGGTCAATTATGGAGGAAGGTCATTAACTACATATTACTATGGTCATTTCGTGCATATTCTACATTATAGCCTGCAACTGATTCCGCTTCGGTCATGAATCCATTCCTTACAGCGATAGAAATCCCTAAGGCCCGTACTGAAGATAGGTCGCCAAACTACGACGAGAGTTTCACCTCTTTATTATGTTAAGCTTTCTAATCCAAAACCATTACGTATCAAAGATAATGTTGGAGTGAATAGGACAAATTCTTTCTTTCGATTTGATTTGAGGTCTTAGTAATATTGCCCACTTTCTTTCTTGCGGGTGTGGAGGGTGTGTTTGTTTTGTGTTTTTATATTTTTTGTGTAAATTATAAAAAAAATAAAATTATGTAAATTATATAAATGTAAAGAGTATGAGTAATATATTAATTTTTTTATATAAAAATATTGGAAAAATAAAATAACAAAGCCACAATCCTTACTATCATTTTTTATTTTTATAAGTTCATCAAGCTCTATTCTAGTTTGAAAATGACATGGGATTTTGTTAAGTCATATCCGGATGTGTAACAGTTGGATCCACCAGTGCTCTTGGGTCTGCCTGTCTACTGGGCCGAACAGACATTTAGGCTTGGCCCATGTCTCCATCAGTGGTTTATACCCATATATCCTTATACTAATTTATCTGTTGTATGTAAGGATAACTTGAGGCGTAAGAGTTGGAATTGTAATCGTGAGGTTCAAAAATATGTCGTTTGTCATTTTAAGAAATTGAAATTTTTGCCTATTTTGGTGTCTCCTTTGTCAATTCAATTTTTTTTTTTTTTTTTCATTTGTATTATTTTCTTTTATATCCATATACTTTTATTTTATTATTGAATTACAAATATAAAAAAATACTAACGTCTAACTAGTGCTAGACACGAGTTATTTTATATTAAATTATATATTGATTTAATATTTTTTTTTATAAATAATACTTATAGTTTTGTATATATATAATATATTATTCAAATCAAATCCATTTGAAAAAATAACATCCACAATAAAAATTAAACTAATACAATAAAAATAGCAAAATGCATAATTAAATATATATATATATACTATAAAAATAAAACTAATACAATAAAAATAAAATTATTTTCTAAATATATAGAAAATAAAAATAACAAAATGCATAATTAAAAAAATATATATATACAATAAAAATAAAACTAATACAATAAAAATATAATTTTTATATGTTAAAATTTATCATAATATTTTGTATTTCTCAAATACTTTTTTAAATCAAAACACTTAAAATTTGAACATAATCTACAAAATTAAAAAATTTATTAAAATATTATACTAAAAATTAAATTATTTTGAAAAAATGAATATACAATAAGAATAAAATGATTAATTAATAAAAATATAATAAATAATTAAAAAATGCATACATTGTAGTATTTTTTTACTTCTTTATTTTTATTTTATTTTTATTTTTTTTCTTTTTTTTTTTTTTTTTTTTGCATCGCCTGTATAAATATTACAATTGATTATTAGAAACTCAAAATAATATATAACTGTTATGAGAAAACGAGAAAGAAAGCAAATAAAGAACACAGAGGTTTTACGTGGTTCGGTGACGGTGTGTCAACCTACGTCCACGGGCAGGAACCGGAGAGATTTTATTATACTGATTCAGAGATTTACAATATGTCATCCGACTAAGAACATAGTTGTCTATTTATAAGCACCCCAAAACACCCTAAACCCTAAGCCTATTTGTTATTAATTAGGATAAGCCCAAAAGGAACCCTGCCAATTGAAACAGCCCTTTCGCTTTGGTTTAGGGTCGGGTAGACCGCTAAATCCAAGTCACGTTTCAACAATCTCCACCTTGACTTGGAGTTTTTCCAACCGCCAAAGGTTCGTCAGTATCTCTCAATCATCTCCTTCCTGCCAGATGCCCCGAGAAGGCTTTACCTCCTACGAATATTCACCAAGTTCAAGCAATGCTCAAACTTCTCCGTCGGTAGCGCCTTTGTCAACATATCAGCTGGATTGTGTTCTGTAGCTATTTTCTGAATAGAAAACTTGTCTTCCTCCAGAACATCACGGATAAAATTCAACCTTACATCATTATGTTTGGTTCTCTCATGATACACTGGATTTTTAGCCAAACTCAAAGCACTTTGACTATCACAGAATAACACCGGTTTCTCCACCTTCAGACCCAAACTCTGCACCAGACCATGTAACCAGATACCCTCCTTAATACCTTCAGTCATTGACATGTATTCCGCCTCAGTCGTCGACAATGCAACCGTAGGTTGTAAAGTAGACTTCCAACTGACTGCACATCCAAACAGAGTGAAGATAAAACAAGTTAGTGATCTTCGTTTCACCAAGTCACCCCCGTAATCAGAGTCTGCATAGCCAACAAGACCATCACCATGGCCTTTATTATCATATACCAGACAAATATCAGACGCTCCTTTCAAATATCGCAAGATCCACTTTACAGCTCCCCAGTGAGTTTTACCCGGATTAGCCATAAACCTGCTCACCACACTAACCGCATAAGCGAGATCCGGTCTCGTACATACCATCGCATACATAAGACACCCAACTGCACTTGAATATGGAACCGTTTTCATGTAACTAACCTCTTCATATGTAGCCGGTATAGTGCTTCGATCAAGTTTAAAGTGTGCCGCCAAAGGGGTACCTACCGGTTTGGACTGATCAACAGAGAATGCCTGCAAAACTTTCTCAATATACTTTTCTTGAGAAACCCACAACCGTCTTGCTTCTCTATCACGCTAGATCTCCATACCAAGTATTTTCTTTGCCGCACCCAAATCCTTTATCTCAAACTCACCCTTTAGTAGAGCCTTCAAGTCATTAATTACAGCCATGTTCTTAGCTGCAATTAACATATCATCCACATACAACAGCAGATACACAAAGGAATCAGTAGAAACTTTTTTCGAGTAAACACAGTTATCAAACTGATTACGAGTATAACCATTAGACACCATGAATGAGTCAAATCTCTTGTACCATTGCCTCGGAGATTGCTTCAAGCCATACAGAGATTTCTTTAACAAGCATACCTGGTCCCCTTTAGAACTGTAGAACCCCTCCGGTTGAGACATGTAAATTTGTTCTTCTAGATTACCATAAAGGAATGTTGTTTTTACATCAAGCTGCTCTAGCTCCAGATCAAAAGCACTCACCATTGCCAAAAGAACCCGAATGGTTTTGTGTTTCACCACAGGAGAAAAGACTTCATGGTAATCGATTCCTTCCTTCTGTGAAAACCCTTTTGCCACCAGTCTCGCCTTGAACCTAGCAGGTTCAACACCAGGAATTCCCTCCTTTCTTTTAAAGACCCACTTGCATCCCACTGGCTTCACCCTTTTTGGTAGTGCAACAAGATCCCAAGTCTTGTTCTTTTCAAGAGACTGCATCTCTTCATTCATTGCCATAATCCAGGTTTCTGCATCTTTACTCGCCACAGCTTCTTTATATGTCTTTGGCTCATCAGAGCCAAGATCATCACCAACCGCTAGTGCATAAGCAACAGAATCCATGTCACACGTATTGACACATCCTGCAAACCTAGCTGGTTTCTGAATATTTCTCTTTCCCTTTCTTGCTACTATGGAATCTTCAACCCCAGTACCAGCGTCATCAGTTTCCCCCTCAACCGGTTTCCCTTGAGGTTTTGACTGATCTGGTTGATCGGATTGATCAATATTATTATTCTGCTGCTTTTCCTCTAACACAACTCTGTCAGGAGTCTCAAACTCCACTCTCTAGTTAGTACCACAATCTTTTGTACCTGCAATACTTTCACAACCTCTACTCTGATCAAGCATAGTAGATTCATCAAAGGTTACATCTCTGCTAATAAGAAATTTACCAGGATTTTTACCTTCTGTACACCACAGTCGATAACCTTTTACTCCTGTTGCATACCTTAGAAATATGCATTTTACCGCCCTTGGCTCCAGCTTACCATCATTCACATGAGCGTATGCAGGGCATCCAAATATTCTTAGATTAGAGTAATCAGAGGGTTTACCGGACCATACCTCTTGAGGAGTCTTTAAGTCAATTGCAGTTGATGGAGATCTATTAACCAGATAGCTAGCAATGTTTACTGCTTCAGCCCAGAATTGCTTAGACAAGCCAGCAAATATGCGCATACACCTAGCACGCGCCATGAGGGTTTGATTTATTTGCTCTGCAACTCCATTTTGTTGTGGTGTGTGTCGTACAGTGCGGTGCCTCACTATACCTTCTTTCTTGCAGAAATCATCAAATGGAGCGTTGCAGAACTCC